AATATATATATAATAGTATATTTATATATATATATATAAAGAATACTAGGTGCGAAAAATTACTAAAAAAAGAAAACAAAATTCACTAAGAAATTAATAAAGATATTTTAAATTTTATTTGTGAATTTTTTTTTTTTTCTTTTTTTATAGTATTTTAATTTCATTCTTTTGAAATTTTTTTTGAACAAATGTAAAAACAAAAAAAAAAAAAAAATTTATGTAAATATAAAGTATTTTTTTTTTTTTTTTTTTTTTTTTTTTTTTTGATGTATTTGTATATATTTTACATGCTTTGAATGAGTGATCCTTAATTATATAATCTACTTCATTCAGCATTCTTTACTTTCAATAGTCATTTATTTACTATAATAAAAATCCTTATTTTTATTAAATATTTAAATACTTATTTAACATTAATTATTAATTAATTATAATTACTAGTTCATTTATTATTAGTTATATTCAACAATTATTTTATATTGCTGTTGAATTAACAAACATGAATAATTATTGACAAATACAAAAAATTATATAATATTAATTACATGAAAATTTTATTGTTATATGTATAAAATTTTCTTTTACAAAATTCATCACAAACACATTTCATTTCCTTCCTCCGAAAAAAAAAAAATTCTTTTTTTTTTTTTTTTTTTATTTATTTATTAATAACAAATATTTTAAAAAAAATTGATTTTTTAATTAATTTTTTTTCCTGACGATTTATGCATTTTTTTTTTTTATCAAAATTTTTCCTGACAGTCTTTGTAATTTTTTTTAAAAAAAAGTACAAAAAAAAAAAAAAAATCATCAATTTTTTTTTGTGTGTGTGTATGACCAACTTCGTATCCTTCATTTTACTAGTCCTTTTATTTTCCAAAAAGGTTAATTAATCCTTTTATTAATCACCAATAGACGTTAATATTATTATATAAATTTGAAAAATAAATATTTAATAAAAAAAAACAGCATGTGTATAGAAAACATCTACAAGTTTAAATTCACAAAATAAACAATAAAAGACTCTATATTTATATTTCATTATTTTTTTTTAATTTAGAAATACATATATTCTATTAAAGCACTAAAAATTTATTATCATGATGTCATTTTATGAAATAACCATAATTATGTTATAGAAAATTATTGACATCTCATGATATATATGTAGTTATTTTTTTTTTTTTTTTTTTTTTTTAAAATATAAAAAAAAAAAAAATTTTCTTACATATAAATGTTAAATTAAAAAAATTATACAATATCGTAATTCACAATTCTTTGTTAAAATTAGATAAAAATGCATATATATAATATGTATAAGATAAATATAGACATTTAATTTTTACATAACAAAAAAATAATCAAAAAAAAAAAATGAAATAAAATAATCAAATTAAAAATAACGTATTTATAAAAAAAAGGGAAAATTTAATAACAAAAATAAAGAGTAAATCCTGATTAAAATATTTAAAAAAACACACAAAATGATTAAAGGTGTAAGCAGAAGAATCATAATTTTGTAATTTAATATATTTCTTAATATTTTAAACAAATTTTATATTGATATTTCTTCATAAATAATTTTTATTTTTTCTAAATTAAAAATAAAAATTTATCAAATATTCTGTTTAAAAATATGTCACAATATTATACATCCTTATATATATATATAAATATAATTTTTTGTTTTCTTTTTTTTTTTTTTTTTTTTTTTTTTTTTTTAAACTGCTGTCTATATGTTAACATTTCGCAGCTGATTATAGAGCACTATAATAAAAAAAAAAAAAAAAAAAAAAAAAAAAAAGTAAATTAATAAAAAGGACAATCTTATAAAATAAAATTACATTTATTTTTTAATTTATAAAGAAAAAATATTTAAACAATATAATATTAAATATATATATATATATAACATATATATTTATTCTATTGAATTAGATATTTAAATATATTAACATAAAATGAAATACCAATTATTTTAAAAGAATTCTATTTGTATTATATATATTATTTCTATATTTCTGATTTTCTCTTTTTTTTTTTTTTTTTTTTTTTTTTTTTTACTTTTTTATTTTTATACCTTTACATATGAAAAAGAAAAATATTAAGAATAATAATTTATGAAAATATATTTAACAAAAAGAAATTGTTATAATTAATAAAAAAAAAAAAAAAAAAAAAAAAAAAAAAGTTGATCTAATATTAAAGTATTAGCATTATTACTTTTTCTTTCGACATTCAATTTTTTCATTTATTTTATTTTATTTTATTTAATTTTGTTACATTTTTATAATTTCTTTTTATGTTACTTCTTGATAATTATAGTTTAAAAAAAAAATTTTCATACAAGTATTTTTGTTGTCTAAAAAAATGTACGACTAGATATTTTCACAAAATATTTTTATTTGGATATAGTAAAAATAAAGACAAAAACATGAGAAACAAAATAAAAATAAAAAAAAAAAAGAATACAATAAAAAATTATAAACCCTATAAATAAAAATTATATATTTCGTAGGATAATTTATAAAAAAAAAATTGTTATAAAATATTACTTATAAGTGTATTTATAATTCTTTAAAAAAAAAAATTATAAGAAATTATATGTCTATTAAATATGCTTATTTAAAAAAAAAATTATGTATTTAAGGAAATATAATTTAAATAAAAATATCGAAAAATAACAAATTTTCTAAAATGAAAAAAGCTTACTTTAAACGATGCATTTTTATTTAGTTTTTCAATGTTTCAAAAATTTTTTAGTTTATCAGGAATGAAATATAAATAATGTAGATCAAAAAAAAAAAAAAAAAAAAAAAAATAATTTTATAAAACAAGTAATATGAAACAAACTTAAAAATATACTCAAAAATAAATAAAAATTGTGGAAATATAAATAATTATTATTACTTAAGCTAAATAAAAAAAAAAAAAAAAAAAAAAAAAAAAAACAATTTCTAATAACTTCTAGGAATATTTATATATATGAATATTTTTGTGTATATTAACCATATATATATATGTAATTCACTTTAACTACAATAATTTAGGAGTATGAATATTTAATCATAATTTCGATAGATTAATTATTCATATTTATTTTTTTTTATATACAATAATTATTATAATTGTTTCTCCTGAATAAGCTTAAGCTTTTTTTTTCTTTTCATTATTTTTTTTGTAGTGAACTTTATTATTTTGAAATAAAATTTTCTGTTATTTCCTTTCACTGGTTTTTTGTAAGACGTACAAAATTAAAAGTTATATAAAAATTAGAAATGATATATCTTGGAATTATTAAATAAGAAAAAAAAAAAATGATTTGAAATTTTTTTTTGATTTTAATAACAAAATTATAAAACAAAATCTAAAAAAGTTTAGAAAAAAATAAAATGAAAATAATTATATATCAATTCATATTGAAATAATGAAATATAAAAAAAAAAAAAAAAAAAAAAAAGGAATTTGATATTTCCTTTTTAATATTTTATTTACACTTATTAAGTATATGTTTCCTAACAAGGTTATGTATTAAATAATTTTTTAGTAATTTTTTCTAATTTTATAGAAATAAATAATTATTAATAATCAATATATATAAATATACTACATATAAGAGTTTATTTCTGACCAAAAATAACATATCTATGTTATATTATATTGTAAAATATTTATATATTCTGAATATTTAAGTCTTAATAAAAGCAAAAGTATTTCATTTAACTATGTGAATGTTGCTATATGTTGTTAATGCATTAACATTATATAATACTAGTTTGGCTATAATTAATTGATTTAATTTCTTATTCAATGACATAACTAGATTATTNAAATACTCTTTAATGGAAAACAGAAATGTTTTTATTTTTTCTATAAAAAGAACAATTAAAATTCAAAATGAAACATAAAATAAAAAGGGGTCTTTATATTTTATGTAGATCTTTTATGATAAATTACAACCAAAATCTAAAACCATAAAAAAAAATTATTCTCTACCCATTTTTTTTTACTATCACTAAATTATATTCATTTTAATATTTTTTTATTTTTTCTAAATTTTTTAAAATTAAAACTGTATAAGAAATACGATAAAAATTACATGGTGTTAAAAATCAAACATTCACATTATTATAATGATATATATCAAAAATTCTAAATATGAATTTTATTAAAATAATTATCAGATATAATTGCTAAAATAAGCTAATAAAGATATATTATTTTAGATTAAAAGCTAAAATAAAAAAATTTTTTAAAAATCATTATTTTTAAGTGAATCCAGTACTTAAATTATTTAAATTCAAAATAATCTTATATTTTTTTATATTAATTGTAACGTGCAAATTAATTAAAATAATAGCATATTGCATGTTGATATTTTTTTTTTGTTAAAATATTTTTTTTTTCAAATGCAATTATCTATATTTATAGATATCTTATTTTTTTTTTTAAAGAATTTTAATAAAAAAAAGTTTTAATAGTAATTTTACATTATTTTTTCAATGTTTTTACTAAAAATAATGGAATTTTATTATCTGATATGCATTAAAAAAAAAAGGAAAAAAAAATTAGGTATTAAAAAAAAAATATATATAGAAATATTTTAATAAAAGATTCATTTTATATATGATTTTAAGTTTTCTATCTTTTAAAGTATTTTTTTTTGAAAATTTTGTTAAATAAAAAGGTTCAATTTTATAATTTGATATTTAATGGTAATTTTTTGATAATGAAAATTGATTATAAATTTGTTACAGTTTAGTTATTTGTTTAAAAAAGATCTAAAGGGTTGGAGGTTAAATATTAAATTTTTTTTTTTCTTTCCTAATTTATTTCTACTTTTAATCTATAGTCCTTTTTTCATAATTAATATATTTTCCTCCGTTTTTTATTTTTTAAATTATACATACTAATCATTAGAGGAACGAATTGAAACTCTTTAAATTATGCTTTATAATTAAAATAAGTTATTTTGCCTTGTAAAAATATAGTAATTATAAATGGAATCTGAAGAAAATTATGATCCACATTCCTTTGAGGATGATGATTATATTAAAAATTCTCATGTTACAATACGTTTAAATGCTCAAGATAATTGTGACGCTAATTTACCTAATTTGCCTATTCCAAATCAAAGTGAAATACTTATAGAAGAACAAAATGTTATTATTAACAATTCACCAGAAAACCAAGGAGTATACATTCGAAATAACCGGCCAGGGGATTATATGGGATCTTTTTTATGCAGTGTTGCTTTCTATTCTACTTTATTTTTCTTCACTATAAGGGTAAGTTGAAATTCATTTATTTAAAATGTGAGTAACTTTTTTATTTAGATTTCATATTTTTACTTAAATTAAATTTCTCTAAATATTAGGAAAAATGTCTTTTTAAATAACTGTTATTTTATATTGCAGCATCTTTTACTAAATTGTTACCGTGGATTTAGGAGATATAATAGAGAAAGATCAGATAACGACAATTGTAATACAGAACAAAAGAATCATACATCAAACGTAAATAATGAGGAAGCATAATGAAAAAAGTAAAAGAAAAAAAAAATTTCAAAGGAGATAAATTAGAATATCTAAGGTTTAATAAATTCATATGGAAAAATGTATCTCTTATGTAGGAAAAATGAAAACATAAATATATGAAAAATATTAAAGAGAAAATCAAAGAGATATAAAAATTTTGTGGAAATTTAAATGAAATATTTGCTATTTTCATTAATATGTATGTAGTGTTAGCACATATATTTTGTTTATTATTTCTTACAATGTAATGTACAGTTTCGGTCCCAGTATGATTTGTCCTTTTCCCTTTCCAAGACTTCCTTAAGGTTTCTATTAAATAATTTGATGAATAAATTGTAGATGAATATCCACTACATTTATTAGTTTAATTGATATCTTTATGAATTTAAAACTATAATTTTTTTTTTTTACAGTTTTTAAAACATGCAATTTTTGGATTTTAATATTTATGTAAAATATAATAATATAGTAACTCTTTATATTTTTATTGTTCCTCTTGATATTCTTATAAAACACATTATTTATATCTTTCCTTTTTTCAAAAAAATATCTATGCGTTTGTTAACTTTTCTCTCAATATCTAATTCATCATTTCTTTATATAAGAAAAAAACGAATTTTTACTATTTTATTTTATTTGATAACTAAATTTATATCAACATAAAAATATGTATGAACAAATATAGATATATGAGATATATTTATTCTCAATTTAATTGTCACCCAAATATAGTAATGTTTATTTGTAATGCAAAACATATCTAAAAATGCTAATATATAGTTTTATTTACCATAACTTAACAACTAAAAAAAAATAATTGTAAGATATTCCCATGAAAAAATATTTTCTTTGGATTTATTTATAATTCTTAGCTCTCTTTGTATGTCTTCATATATTTTTCTCATTTTTAATTATAATTTAAGNTCATGAAATTTACATTATTTATTTTTTTAAAACTTAAAATAATAACGAAAGAAATAATTTTATTAATTTTATAAATTAGTTAAATATAAAACTTAATTCTAATTTAAGAAAAAAATAATTATATATTGTTAAAGTAAAATTTTAAAACAGTATATTCTAAATAAATTTTCATTTATTTAAACAAAAAATAATGCTCAAAAATTATTTACCTTTTTATTTCTAATAACGAAACAACTTAAAAATCTTTTAAAAAATCTTAAATGTTTGCAAAAGAATATTAAATAAAAATTCAACAGAATATATGACAAATAAATTGATAATATGTAAATCACTATAAAATTTAAATAAAATTTTTGTAAGAATATTCAAAATTAGAATAAATAGGAACTTAATATGCTTTAAATTAAAAACAAAATTAAAACGAATTTTATAAAGGTTTATAAAAACAATCTAATAATATTTCTGTGAACTTCATTAATGGTGTAATTTTTAAAGTATACTTTCTTTTCATTATCCATTTTAACTATTTCATAGAAAATTATATTAATATACATTTAAATAAATAATAAATTCGAAAATATAAAAATTTAAATACTCTTTAATGGAAAATAGAAATGTTTTTATTTTTTCTATAAAAAGAACAATTAAAATTCAAAAAGAAACATAAAATAAAAAGGGGTCTTTATATTTTATACAGATCTTTTATGATGAATTACAACCAAAATCTAAAACCATAAAAAAAAATTATTCTCTACTTATTTTTATTTGCTATCACTAAATTATATTCATTTTAACATTTTATTTTTTCTAAATTTATTAAAATTAAAATTGTATAAGAAATACGATAAAAATTACATGATGTTAAAAATCAAACATTCACATTATAATGAAATATATCAAAAATTCTAAATATGAATTTTATTAAAATAATTATCAGATATAATTACTAAAATAAGCTAATAAAGATAAATTAATATAGATAAAATAGCAAAAAAAAAAAAAAAAATTCTGTAAAAATCATTATTTTTAAGTTAACCCAGTACTTAAATTATTTAAATTCAAAATAATCTTATATTTTTTTATATTAATTATAACGTGCAAATTAATTAAAATAATAGCATATTGCATGTTGATATTTTTTTTGTTAAAATATTTTTTTTTTCAAATGCAATTATATATATTTATAAATATCTTATTTTTTTTTTAAAGAATTTTAATAAAAAAAAGTTTTAATAATAATTTTACATTATTTTTTTAATGTTTTCACTAAAAATAATGGAATTTTGTCATCTGTTATCCATTAAAAGAAAAAGGAAAAAAAAATTAGATATTAAAAAAAAAAATATATAGAAATATTTTAATAAAAGTTTCATTTTATGTATGATTTTAATTTTTCTAACTCTTAAAGTATTTTTTTTTTTTGAAAATTTTGTTAAAAAAAAAGGTTCAATTTTAAAATTTGATATTTAATGGTAATTTTTTGATAATGAAAATTGATTATAAATTTGTTACAGTTTAGTTATTTGTTTAAAAAAGATCTAAAGGGTTGGAGGTTAAATATTAAATTTTTTTTTTTCTTTCCTTATTTATTACTACTTTTAATCTATAGTCCTTTTTTCATAATTAATATATTTTCCTCCGTTTTTTATTTTTTAAATTATACATACTAATCATTAGAGGAACGAACTAAAACTCTTTAAATTATGCTTTATAATAAAAATAAATTATTTTGCCTTGTAAAAATATAGTAATTATAAATGGAATCTGAAGAAAATTATGATCCATATTCCTTAGAGGATGATGATTATATTCAAAATTCTTATGTTACAATACGTTTAAGTGATCAAGATATTTATACAGCTAATTATTCTAATTTGCATATTCCAAATCATAGTGAAATACTTATAGATGAAGAAAATGTTATTAGTAACAATTCACCAGATAACCAAGGAGTATACATTCCAAATAACCAGCGAACGAGTTATTTCGAATGTTTTTTAGGCCATTTTGCTTTATATACTACTTTACTTTTCTTAACCTTAAGGGTAAGTTGAAATTTATTTATTTAAAATGTGAGTAACTTTTTTATGTAGATTTCGTATTTTCATTAAAATTAAAATTCTCTAAATATTAGGAAAAATGTGTTTTTAAATAACTGTTATTTTATATCGCAGCATCTTTTTCTAGATTGCTATCGTGGTTTGAAGAGATTAAAAAGAGAAAGATTCGATAACAACAATGATAATTCAGATAAAAAGAGTCTTATAGCCAGTGTAATTAATGAGGAAGAACAGTGAAAAAAGTAAAAGAAAAAAAAAATTTCAAAGCAGATAAATTCGAATATCTAAGGTTTAATAAATTCATATGGAAAAATGTATCTCTTATGTACGAAAAATGAAAACATAAATATATGAAAAATATTAATGAGAAAATCACAGAGATATAAAAATTTTGTGGAAATTTAAATGAAATATTTGATATTTTCATTAATATGTATGTAGTGTAAGCACATATTTTGTATATTATTTCTTACAATGTAATGTAGAGTTTCAGTCCCAGTATGATTTGTCCTTTTCACTTTCCAAGACATCCGTAAGGTTTTTATTAAATAATTTAATCAAGAAATTGTAGATGAATATCCACTACATTTATTAGTTTAATTGATATTTTTATTAATTTTAAACTATAAAAAAAAAAAAAAAAAAAAAAAAAAAAAAAAGGGTTATTAAAGAAAATCTAGCTTCTTTTATATAGTTTATTTTTTAAATACTCGTTTTTTAGATTCTTCAATAATCTTTTCTAAGTTCTATAAAATAGAGAAAAAAAAAAAAATTTGTTTAATATGTTTTATAAAATTCTTAAAAAATTTTCAATATTTATAAATAATTCATCTATCTATAACATTATAGAAGTCATCATCACTCATTTTTGTTTATAATTATAATGATCTTTTTAAGATATGGAAAAAATAAAAGAAGATATATATGTTTATTATTTTCTTATTTTCATAAATTAAAAAAAACATTATGCTAAATTGTAAAATATTATTTATTGAAAATTTCTTCTTTTTTTTTTTTATGATTCATTTAAACCTATCATTATTTATTAGTGCACTAATAGAGAAATTTTTTTTACAAAATGTGAATAAAAAATAAAAGAAAAAAGAAGTTAATTACATAATAAATTAAAATAAAATAATAAAAATAATATATTACTTAATAAATATTATTAATATATATTAAAGATATTAATTTAATAATAGAAAAAATATGGTCTAAAAAAAAAGACAAAGACAAAAAAAATAATACATACTATTTATTATACCTAGAAATAAAATTCTACTAGCATATAACTCTTTTTTCTCAATATTTAGAAATGAAAAAAAAAAAAAAAAAATACTTGTTTTTTCTTTTTTTTTTTTCTTTTTTTAATTTTATAATTATATATAAAAATATAAACAATATATATTAATATAAAAAAAATATGTATATTTATATATAGAGGTATGAATAATATTTAATAAAGAAAAAATAAGTAAACGAACAAAAAGGATATGTATATAAACATATGAAATAAAAATAAAATTTGTTTAGACATAAAAAAAAGAAAAGAAATAGAGAAAAAAAAAAAAAAAAAAAAAAAAAAAAAAAAAAAATAAAAAAAAGAAAAATAAATATTTCGTCTAAATTTGTTTTATAGAAATATACTTTATTTTTTAAAAAAAAAAAAATAAAAGAGAAAAATTTTTTAGGAAGAAAAAATTTCATGAGAATATTTTTTAATTTTTAAGATTAAAATTTTCGTTTAGTGATATTAATATAAATAAAATTTTTTTTTATTATTTATGTATTTATATTATTTTTAAAAGTAGTGAACTTAAATTACTGAAGATTACTTATAAAAAGCTATAATTATTTTGTACTTAATTAATAATTAATGAGAATATATGTTTTTAATAGAAATACATAATTTTTATCAAAGTAAATCCACAATGAACCGCATTATTGTAGTTTATTTGTTTATATCATTAATATTAGACTTAAATCCATTTATTTATTAGAGAAAACTCCATATTCTCTTTAATAATTTGTTTTTCATTTCTCTAGCAAATTCATTCAATGATAATTTAATAAATTAAAAATGTACATTATGGAATGTAAATAAATAAGGTAGCGAATTTTAAGTTATAATAACAATAATTATAACAAATGTAAAAACTATTATAGATAATATTTCTTATGAATACTCCTTAAAAAAA